GTACTAAGCGACTATTTATTTTTGTTATTTTAAGTGACTGTTTATTTTTATTGTACTAAGGGACTATTTATTTTTGTTATTTTAAGTGACTGTTTATTTCTATTGTACTAAGCGACTATTTATTTTTGTTATTTTAAGGAACTGTTTATTTTTATTGTACTAAGGGACTATTTATTTTTATTATTCTAAGTTTGTGGTTTTATTTTTAATTATGTAGATATGTATGTATTCACTATGTTGTTTTTCTTAGTGCAAAGTTACACAATGGGTTATCTACACTATGTCCTGGGAAATCAAACCATAAGTCCGTAAGCTTACCTTTCACCAATTGGGAGACATGTATTTGCGTTATTTCAAAATACGTATGAAATACCTAGTTCAGTGTCATGATTATTTATTACTAAGACTATAATAAACGTTAACAGTTTCGCTAAAAAGAGTTCGTTTTGTTTCTCTTCGAACTATAAAATAAGTTTTGAAATGTTTGTTTTTTACTCCAAACTCAGTAGATAACATCGGTGCTTTGATTTGAGTTTCAGACAGTGTTGATTAACTTGATTACACAACTGTTCGTTTCACGTTCTGTGTTGAAATATTAATACTTTATTTTTACATTTTTTATCTAGGCTGTCAAACAGAATATGTTAACCGAGTGTAAGTGTCATGGCGTTTCGGGCTCTTGCACCATCCGTACTTGTTGGAAGACTCTGCCATCATTCACCCAAGTCGGAGACTTTTTGATGGAAAAATATCGTAGGGCGAAAAGAGCATTTCCTTTCTGGGGCAACCAAAAGGGGCTGTCAACTCCTTCCCACCTCCGTGTTCGCCGATCCAAGTTACCCAATTCGAAACCAATATCTAAGAATCTTGTTTATTTAGAACGTTCACCAAACTACTGCGACCTAGACTTGTCCCTTGGATCCCCTGGCACCAGGGGGCGGCGCTGCAATCGGACTTCCAACGGGATCGACGGCTGCGCCCTAATGTGCTGTGGTCGAGGTTATAACACCCATCAGCTCACACAAAGCTGGCAGTGCAACTGTAAATTCCAATGGTGTTGTGACGTGAAATGCAATATGTGTAAAGACAAATTAGAGGCTTACACGTGCAAGTAGTTTAATGTAAATAATGGAATGTGTTGTAACGTAAAGTGCAATAAGATTTGGCAGCACAAGTAGATTTATGTAAAAGATGAAAAACAACTGTTTGATAAAACATCGACTAACTACGAAATTGTGAAAGATTTGATAAAAAACTCTACAGTTGATTAAACCCACTCTCAGAAAAACAGTTCACAGTAATAGGAAACCTACCTCCTCCTCCCCCAACTTAAATCAAGGAGAAATCTTGCAATTTAGTGCAGAGTTTGACAAATGAAAAACAACTGTAGGCAAGGAAAAAAAAGACAGATTCTTAAAGTAGCTCGCACCCTTTATTTCAAACATAACCGACGATGAAAACTCAAAATCTGCATTGAATCACATGTAAAATGCCCTTCCATATTATTTATTTAAGAAAATTATTGAATAAAAAAAACAGATATGGCTTGGAAGAAGTCGCTACAACCATGACTTTTATAATAATATTGATATATTAGATTACTTTAAACATTACTTAACTGAGGGAAAAGTGAAATTTTACAAATCATTTGTTTTTAGAAAGTATGTCTCTAAAGAGATGGCCTACTACATTAAGTAACAGTACTGACAAGCAATGGATCTGGAAATACATAGATATGGTTAAAATCGTAGTAAGGGGGATGAAAATCAGCCTATTTCGACCATCGTCAAAAAGTTGACGACATAATTATTTTCCTTTACAACAATCCCCTGTGAGTAAGGGGTAAGTTTGTAGACTTACACTGCTAAAATCCGGGATTCAATTCCCTACGGTGGACAGAGTGTGGATAGCTCACTGTGTAGATTTGCAGTAAGAAAATAACAACTACCTTTATAGCAATTTTAACCATTTCTACACGTTTTAAGACTAAGAAAAGTAGTTTCACTAAATTCGAACCTGCTGCCATCTGTTAGCAGTATTTAGTATTTCCCTCTTTTTTCTTTCAAGCAAATAACTATGAATGTTTCTCTGATAATCTATGTGTTTGTTTTTGATATTATATAATAAGTGATAGTTTATTCTGCTAAAGACTGGACATATAGTTTAGAAAAACTGATTTAATCTATACAGAAGCAGCTGACTTGCTCAGTAGTTCATTTTAGATGAAACGATAAGCTAAAGATGTTTTAGTAATGCTGTTAAAAATTGAAGACCATGAGACAAAGTTTATTCTCTTCTGATAACATTAACAGAATACGTAACTGAAACGTGGTTTAATAAAGGAAAGATATATTATGAAGTCCTGTTTTTAGTTTTTTACGTCTGTTGTGTAGTTTTGTTGTTGTTTTACAAAAAACATCATCTTAGGTAAACTTTTTGGCATTTTTCTTAACTTTACACATTATTATATTACGAGAAAACACAGAATAATATTATATCAGTATCAGTGAAACAAATGTTTGATTTTTATTAACACAATTAAATTGTAATGTTTAATTATAAATAAAAACATTAGTTTCTTAAAAGATGTCATAAACAGTGGGAAAAAAGCTAACAACAGATAATTCTAAGGCTGGAGTATACTAGTAATGGTCATACTTCCACACTAAAGGTGGATTATACAAGTAATGTCAGACTTCCATACTGAAGATAGATTATACTAGTAATGGTCAGATTTCCACACTAAAGGTGGATTATACTAGTAATGGTCAGATTTTCATACTAAATGTGGATTATATTAGTAATGGTCAGACTTCTATACTGAGGGTTGATTATACTAGTAATGGTCATACTTCCACACTAATAGTGGATTATACTAGTAATGGTCAGAATTCCATACTAAAGGTGGATTATACAAGTAATGTCAGACTTCCATACTGAAGATAGATTATACTAGTAATGGTCAGATTTCCACACTAAAGGTGGATTATACAAGTAATATCAGACTTCCATACTGAAGACAGATTATACTAGTAATGGTCAGATTTCCACACTAAAGGTGGATTATACAAGTAATATCAGACTTCCATACTGAAGATAGATTATACCAGTAATGGTCAGATTTCCATACTAAAGTGGATTATACTAGTAATGGTCAGAATTCCATACTAAAGGTGGATTATACAAGTAATGTCAGACTTCCATACTGAAGATAGATTATACTAGTAATGGTCAGATTTCCACACTAAAGGTGGATTATACAAGTAATATCAGACTTCCATACTGAAGACAGATTATACTAGTAATGGTCAGATTTCCACACTAAAGGTGGATTATACAAGTAATATCAGACTTCCATACTGAGGATGATTATACTAGTAATGGTCAGACTTCCATACTAAATGTGGATTATACTAGTAATGGTCAGACTTCCACACTAATAGTTAATCATCCTCAGTATAGAAGTCTGATCATTACTAGTATAATCAATCCTCAGTATGGAAGTCTGACCATTACTAGTATAATCCAATTACTAGTATAATCATCCTCAGTATAGAAGTCTGACCATTACTAGTATAATCATCCTCAGTATGGAAGTCTGACCATTACTAGTATAATCAACCCTCAGTATAGAAGTATGATCATTACTAGTATAATCATCCTCAGTATAGAAGTCTGACCATTACTAGTATAATCATCCTCAGTATGGAAGTCTGACCATTACTAGTATAATCAACCCTCAGTATAGAAGTCTGACCATTACTAGTATAATCAACCCTCAGTATAGAAGTCTGACCATTACTAGTAATTACTAGTATAATCAACCCTCAGTATAGAAGTATGAGGGTCAGACTTCCATACTGAGGGTTGATTATACTAGTAATGGTCAGACTTCCATACTGAGGGTTGATTATACTAGTAATGGTCAGACTTCCATACTGAGGATGATTATACTAGTAATGATCATACTTCTATACTGAGGGTTGATTATACTAGTAATGATCATACTTCTATACTGAGGATGATTATACTAGTAATGGTCAGACTTCCATACTGAGGGTTGATTATACTAGTAATGATCATACTTCTATACTGAGGATGATTATACTAGTAATGATCAGACTTCCATACTGAGGGTTGATTATACTAGTAATGGTCATACTTCCATACTGAGGATGGATTATACTAGTAATGATCAGACTTCCATACTGAGGGTTGATTATACTAGTAATGGTCATACTTCCATACTGAGGATGGATTATACTTATTTCTTTTCATCCTCTTAGAAAACTAAGACCAGGAAAAAATATATTGGCCAAAATGTTCATTTTAAGTCCTAAAATTTAATTGTTTTTAACATAAAGACTTTTTTTTTACACCTCATAGCCGACTGAAGGATTAACAAAGTTTGTTTGTTTGGGGCAACGTCACATTGGGCTATTTGATCTGTACACCCAGGGGAATTGAACCTCGGATTATAGCCTTGTAAGTCCATAAACTTCCCACTGACCCACGTGGGGACATGAAGAAAGTGTCGAGAAATTTAAACGTCAGTAGCTTTTCTGAAAACATCATCTTTTTGGTCAGTATTAATGTTGCATATAGACTAGACTCAAGTTTTGAGCTAGAAAAGTTTTTGATAGCTAAATCATTCATCAAGACCTATCCCCCCTGTTCGTATACTTATACAGTAATCAGCGTTATTCTTTAACAACTATCCAATAGTAAAATATCAACATTTCTGTACATTTATTTGTACACCTTTAGGCATATATATTTTACTGACATTTATTTTATTACTTTTATCGGTCCCTTCCTTGTTCTTATTAATTTAATGGTGGCAGTTTTGCGTTTTCTTTTTTTTGTTTGTGATCAGGAACTCCCTGTGTACTACATGATAATTATTGCATTTAGGAGTTGAACTTTCAGTGACAACTAGGAGAACAGATATTTCTATATCAACAAGCAGTAAAATACTTATATCAGAACTTGTTGGAATTAAATTTATATCTAGTGACAGGGGAATGTAAGAACCAAACATTCTAGCATATCATGGTGGATTAATGTATTAAAGAACCATAAGATTTGAATCAACTCTGAACGTGTAAAGCTGTACAAGTAGTACTTCTTCACGAAACAACATCTGAATGAGTTTCCTTCGAGGCAAGATGTACGAAGTCTTATGTCAAATCCTCACATAAGAACAGCTTACAAGAGTTGCATAACCAGAACTCTGGAGGTCTTACAGCTGATCAGTGCCAGAGATTTGCTTATTGAATATCTAGATACTTTCTACAGTTGACCTTATGAGTTAAGTAAAACAACTAAATTATCCCATGAGATTGATACTGGAGGTACAGCCAGATGACTTCCACTTGCAAAACAGACTGGGGCTTTCAAAGAGACAAGGAGTGATAGAACTGAGTACTAGTCCTTAAGCATCCACAATGTTCTGCGTGAAGTACCAAAAGATGAATGAAGCAACAAAGAAGGATACCTACCCACTACTCTGGATGAAAATTATTTTCAACATTCGATCTGAAAAGTGGATGTTAGCAAGAACAAAAAAAAGGGTGAGAGAAGACAGCCTTTATTGCAGGAAACACATTGTGACAATTTGTTCTGTTACCTGTTATATTTCAATGTTTATTTGAGTGTGCTGTCTCTAAGCTAACCTGAAAATATCATACTCATCTGCTTGAATGACATAATCGCACATAGGAAGACTTTTGGTGATGCTTATAATGGACTAAGGAAAGTTCTGGAATGATAGAGGCAAGAGATCTTTAAGCTGAATTCTAAAAAGTGTGAATTGTTTCATCAAAAGGTGAATTTCCTGTGACACCTATTCAGCAGAGTGGAGGTGTCCACAGACCCACCTAATTCGATGACGAGGAACCCACGTTGAGACTAACAATGGTTGGAGACGGCTTGAATGGGTAAAGAAGAAAATTTTTAACAGGTACCTGATGAGACAAATCCTTGTCGAAACGTTGTACATTTGCTGTTATGTTAAACTTATATTAAAGTTTCTCTTCATTACCCATTCAAGCCATCTCCAACCATTATTAGACACACCTAAGATTGAATCTATTAAGAATTAGCCAATACTAGG